TCTAAAAGTCATTTTATTTCAATATCAGAAATGTTCACAAATGACTCTTTAAAACTAATTAACCTTTTAAAATGATTGATTATCATTCTTTTCTTTTCTTTTTATTTTTCTAGGAATTGATCTCAGTGTCTGATTGATAGTATAAAGCAGTGTCTTCCACTATCACCAAGTTTCAACAAATGGCTAAGGAAACAAAATATGACTGAATAAGAAATGGACTTACAGTGTTTAGACATAATAATATTTCTACTTTCCTTGAACAAGTGGAGGGAGAGCATGATGGTTTATATCTAGACATCGCAAAAGCCACACACACTCATAGGTGGGATTTGGGGGAGGTGACTGGATCATGGCTATGTGGCACTAGATTAATCCACTGATGGATTTGTAGCTGGGTGTGATGTGGGGAAGTGAAACATGGTGAGGAGCAGTGGGTCCCTTGTGAGTGTTGCGTGGAAGGGTGTATACGTGTATCATTCCTCCTCTCTTAATCTGTTGTAGTTAGGGAACATTGTTCCCTAATTGCAGAGAACAGTTAGAATCAGAACGTGGAGTTTATAATATTATGTTTATAATGGTCACCGGGAGTTAACACAAGAAAATGCAGGAAATCTATCTGCAACACCAAAGACAGAATATTTTAGTCAAGGGCCTAAATCCCACAGCAATGTCCCACATGAGTCCAGATAAGACCCAGAGCTCATGACAATGCCTCCCACAACTGATGGTCAAGACCCCACAAGAAGGACTCTCAAAAGTCTCTTTTATGAATCTGTGCTGAGAAGTCCCAAAGGTCAGCAGTGGAAGCCAGGAAGTCCATGCCAGCAGGGTGAAGGAGCTGTGCTAGTGGGATGAGGGTTTTATGCTGGAGCAAAGAATTCACACTCACAACAAAGACCAGGGATGTCCTCACAGCCATCCTTAGCAACACGGAGGCCCTGAGCTCCTCAGACAACAAGCACAGTTGGGTACATGCCAGGAAGCCAGCATGACGAGTTCATCCTGGAGACCAAGTGGCGCATGTCTTTACCTCCAGAGCCAGGAAGCAATGCTCGATGTGAGGACCAAAGCTTCTCCAGGAGAACCAACGGCTCAAAAAGCAACTCATAGGAGAACCCACAATGCCTCAATGCAATAACACATTAACACCATCCTTCTCCTTCTCCACCTCTCTATTTATGCTGGCAACTCTCTGCAGGTTGAGCATCTTTGCTCAGTGTCATGCTCATGTAATCCAGCTGGCATTAAATTGACCACCAGTTCTTAATCCATAACATGATCTTTCTCTGATTCCTGCTGCCATGGCAAGAACAAGCCTCTGCTGTCACACTGCTCTGCCATGCTGTCTGCCTTGGAGCCAGTCAGCTATGGATTGAAACTTCTACAGTCTGTGAGCTAAAAATAAATCTTTTCTCCTCCAACCTCTGGGTACTTAGTATTTCATCCCAGTAAGAAAGTAACTAAGACAGAGAGATTGATAAGTCTCCTTTATCTTAAACACACTTTTTTTAGGGTTCTAAATTCTCTCCTTACTTACCAAGTCTTGTTCTTGCCTGACAGCTTGGCTTGTTGAACTGCATTAAACCAAAATTTTATCAAACATATTCACCGAGGATTGCCCATACTTTACAATTGACCAAATTCCATTTTGAAATTTTCCACTAAGTGGCTATCTATCCTAGATCATTGGTTATAAACCCTCATTTGCACTTTTGTATTTGAGTTCAATTATTCTTTGCCATTAATAATACTTGAATAAAAATATCATTATGTACACTCAAGCTTTCTTTGACACATCTCAACAGAGCTTGATTTTCTCCCACAAAAAGGGCACACTATCTGTTGGGAGCCTGCCGTATTACCCATGAGAATATAGCCACAAGATGGCGTCCGCCTACCGCCTCGCTGCTCCCCCGCCCATCGTGTGCCCAAGATGGCGCACACATCCTGCTTCCTGGTTCTTGCTTGGCTTACTGTCCCCGCCATATATGGTAATGATTGATTGCTTCCTTGTTGCCACCCAATCGCCTGTCCCCACGTGTAATCCCATGATTGGATAACATTAGCTATATAAGCCCAAGTATAGGAAGTGCCCGACGCACAACACGGAAGAAGCCGTCGAGGACGGACATGTATTGAGGTTGCTGCCCAGTCAATAAAGGTGCTTGCAGAGGCTAAGTGTTCATGCTCTCCATTCCGCGGGATGGAAGCGGCTCCGGACAATTATCTTTTTTCCTTAATACTACCAGTATCTATGATTATGATATATTATTTGCTCTAAAATGTGCATAGTATTTTATTTATACATAAAGTTAAATTTGTTATTTTATAAAAAGCAACATTGTCTTTCACATCATCTAAAGATTTTGCAACAATGAATGCAGTACTAAGTCAATAGTAACATTAAAATATTCTCTTCATTGAAGGACATCTCCATTCAAGAATATGTAATTCACAAGATAATACTTTGTTATAATATCTTTTAATTGTTTATAAGATCTCTCAGTCTTTGTACCTAAAGATGCATGGTTTTCTATTTCCTTTAAAATTCTTAAATTCATATTCCATATTTTAATTAATTATATGATAGAATTTGTTTGCTGTTTTAATCAAAAATAAAAACTTTATATTTGCCTGTTTTACAATGTGATATTTTGAAATATGCACATTTTAAATAATTATATCTTGCTATTTTACATACCACATTTTGTTACTGAAAGCACTTAAAAATCTATTCTCAATAATTTTCAAATATACAATTTATTGTTCATAACTTTATTCAACAAGTCGTAAAGCAGATCTCTTGATTTACTGCTTCTTTCTCTGAACATTGAAGAACATCTCTCTGATCTCCCAGCTTCCTCTCTTGCCTTGCTTATTTCATTTGATGTGCTGGCCTCTAGTTCCATTCATCCACATTGCTGGGCATGTCACGAGTCTATTCTTTTTGTGGTGTAGTTGTATACCGTTATGTAAATGTATAATTTTTAAAATCTATTCATAAGTTGATGGATTTTTAGGCAAGTTTCATTTACGACTAATGTAATAGTCCAGCAATAAATGCTAAATACAGATGTTGTCAGGTATAACAATTTCATTACTTTACATTTACTAGTAGTTTGCTGGATCATATAGTGGTTGTATTTTTAATTTTTGAGGAACTTACATACTATTGCATAAAGACTGCACTAATTTATATTTCCACTGTATTGTTCCATTTATCATTGCTGGGACAAAATACTGGACATGTGAGAATTTAAGGTAGAGAGATATGATTAACTTGTTGCTTCAAAAGTTTGAATTCATCAACAGTTGACAAAACCATAAGGAAGTGCATGTTGGAAAAAAGGTTTTAGTTCCTAGTGGCCAAAAAGCACAATAGATGAGAAGAGTGCTTAAAGATTTAGCAACAGTGAATGCAGTACTAAGTCAATAGTAACATTAAAATAATAGTGATGATGAAACCTGCAGAGACCAAGTGCCTAACTGCAACCAAAAATTCATTTACTTATTGGAAAGAGCCAATACTGCAATTAAACCTGAATGCTTTTAACTTAAAAAAACAAACAAACAAACAAAAAAAAACACAGTGGTGCATTAACATCTTTTTTTTTTTTAATTTCACAGTAATACATGTGCCATAGGTTTACTACCACTAGTAGTAAGGGGTCAGGGAACAGACATGGTCCCTAAGGTCATTCTTTCATGTGCTACCAAGACACTCTCAGAAATGTGCTTTACTAATTTTTTAAGCAGCTCAGAAGCCAATCAAGTTAATCACTTATCTTTACCATTACAGCCTGATTAGATCAATATACAATACACACATGTATTGAAATATCACAGAGTACTACCCCATAACTATTTATTGTATGTTAATAAAAAACTACTAAAAATGGTCATGCTTACTATTAAAACTATTAAAAATGAAGTATCATGGTTATCCAGTTACTTGTGATGTTAAGACAGAAAGATCATAATTTTGAGATGAGCCTGAGAACTGAGATGCGATCTTGTCTCAAAAACAAACAAAACACAGAACAAAAAAGCAGAGCATACACAAGCCCTGTGACCTGTGCCTGATTATAAGAGCTCTTACAATCAGGTATGAGTATGAAACAAACAAAACAAAAAACTATCTGCAGATGCCAAAATCTCAAAATGCTGTGATTAAGCATCTTATGAGAATTCATTACATAAATAATACTGCTGACAAGAAAATTTGATTGTTTGCCATATATCATTTTAATATAACTGAAATTAAACTGATAACAATTTTTTTGTCTAATTGGTAAAGCCTTCAGAATATAGTACATCATGGACATAGGAGACATTAACATTTAATTTGTGAAACGTTTCTATTAGTAACAGTTTACCATACAAATAAAATACTAGTTTGATTATGCAGCACTTTCTCTGACAATTTTCATGTTTTTAAGAATATCAAATGACTGTTTCTACATTGTAAAAAAATGAATACCTCGATATTTTTGTATTCAATTTGAAATCAAGTTATCACCTAGGATTTGCGTTTTAAAAAAGTAAAATCCCATTGGTTAGCTAGAATGCCCAGGGGTTCCAACATTTGGCTAAAAAGAGCCATAGGTCGCTGAGAAACAATACAATAAATAACCTATTTAGCAAAAAATGATAATAGAAAATGTGAAAAGTAAATAAAGGACATAACATGATTGAAAAAGATGAGCTGTAGTCCTTTCAAAAGTATAAGCCATGTTTTTAATGTGTAACCTAGGCTACTTCTCTGGTTTGAATGTCCCTTCCAAAATTCTTACTGAAATTTAATTGCCATTATGATATAAAGATGTAGGACCGTTAAGAGGTAGTTAAGTTCTGAGCGCTTTGTCTTCAAGAATGTTAAATAACACAGATGATATGTTGCATGTAATGCCAGCACTCTGGTAGCCTAAGAGATGGCAATCAGAGATTGAGCCCAACCTGGACAATCCAGTGAATCAGTAAGAGGACTACTGGGGCTGTAGCTCAGGGAGGATGTGCACTGTTCAGAGTGGACCTCAGGAGCCACCGTCCGCACAGCCCAGCCCCGCCCTGCCCTTGCACAGACACGGATGCATCTGTGCGCTGCGCATATACTCTGCGCAAGCAACCTGCAGAGAAGGATGGAGAAAACTGCAGCGTCCACTGGCAGGAGGGCTGGGCTGCCCCAGGACAGGGATTTGGCCCTTTCTGGGGGGCCGGGGCTGGGGGATGTGGGCTGCGTTCCTCTGCTCTGCGGATTCTGTTGCTGCTTCCCAGGCTGCTCCTGCTGTTCCTGCTGCTGCACTGGGAGACCCACCCCTGGGCCGAGGTGGCCCAGTCGAGCTCCGCTGCAGCTGAGGTCAAGAAATGAGAACAGCCCTGTCTCAAAGGAGGCCGCTGCGACCCTGGCACAGTGACTCTGTCCAACTGGCTGGATGGGCATTGTTATGGTTTGATAACTAGTGGTCAACTTAACGCCAGCTGGATTACATCAGCATGCATTGAGAGAAGATGCTCCACCTGAGAAGGGTTGCCAGGATAAATAGGTGGAGAAGAAGAGAGGTGTGAGAGGGATTGAGGCGTTATGGAGGCATTGTTAGTTCTCCTACAAGTTGCTGTCTGAGCTGTTGGTTCTCCTGGAGAAGACAGGAGTCTTTGGTCTTCACATCGAGCATTGCTTCCTGGCTCCGGAGGGGAAGACATGTGCTGCCTGGTCTCCAGGGTGAACTTCTCACGCTGCTTCCTGGCATGTTCCCGACTGTGCTTGTCATCGGAGGAGCTAGGGGCCTCCGTGTCACTGAGGACAGCTGTGCTGCCTTTCAGGACAGCCCCGTTCTTTGTTGTGAGTGTGACTTCTCAGCTCCAGTGTAGAACCCTCATCCCACTAGTACAGCTCCTTCATCCTGCTGGCATGGACTTTCTGGCTTCCACCGCTGACCCTTGGGTCTTCCCGGCATGAATCTGTAAAAGAGACTAGCGTGTGTCCTTGTGGGCCCTGGACTTCCAGTTGGACTCGTGGAGGCATTGTCCTGAGCTCTGGGTTTTTATCTGGATTCATGTGGGACATTGCCGTGGGGTTTAGGCTCTTGACTTAAATAATCTATGTCGTTGGTGTTGCGGATAGATTTCCTGCATTCTCCTGTATTAACTTTCAGTGACCATTATAAAAATATTATAAACTCCATGTCCTGACCTGAATTGTCCTCGTGTACAACCCCAGACTACAACAGGCATCCATTGCCAGCACTGTGGGGGTCGCTTCAAACTAACTGGATCTTCTGAGTTTGTAACAGATGGACCCGGGAATTATAAACATAAAACAAAATGCACATGGCTCATTGAAGGACAGCCACATAGAATAATGAGACTTCATTTTGGTCATTTCGCTTCAGAGTGTAGTTGGGACAGTACGTTTATGATTGTGATTCAATTTATGCACCTCTAATTGCTGACTTTAGTGGTCTCATTGTTCCCAAGAGACAGAGTAATGAGACTGTCCCCGAGGTCCTTGCCACATCGGGTTATGTGCTGCTGCAGTTTTTTAGTGATGCTGCCTATAATTTGACTGGGTTTAATATCACTTACAGTTTTGATGTGTGTCCACATAATTGCTCAGGCTGAGGAGAGTTCCATAACAGCAGCAACACTGTTGAGTGCAAATGTTCTGAAAACTGGAAAGGTGAATCGTGTGAAGTGCCTGACTGGTCAGATAACTGTGGCTTTCCTCATCAAGGCATCTGCAATTTAAGTAGTGTCAGAGGATGCTCTTGCTTCTCTGAGTGGCAGGGTCCTGGGTGTTCCATTCCTGTGTCAGCAAACCAGTCATTTTGTACTCTAGACGAATATTCTAATCGAAAGCTCCCCAGAGCATCTCACAAACCTGTGGTCAATGGAAACATAATGTGGATTGTTGGGGGATATATGTTAAACAACTCAGATTACAACATGGTTCTAGCCTATGACCTTGTTCCTAGGAAGTGGCTTCCACTAAACCGCTCTGCAAATGATGTTATTGTGAGATACGGTCATTTGTTAGCATTATATAAGAAAAAATTTACATGTATGGAGGAAAAATTGATGCAACAAGGAATGTGACCAATGAGTTGAGAGTGTTTCATATTTGTAATGAGTCATGGACAATTGTGATCCCAAAGACAAAGGAGCAGCGTGCAGTGGCTGGGCATTCAGCACATATTGTTACATTGAAAACTGGCTGAGCGGTCATGCTGGTGATCTTTGGTCACTGCCCTCTCTATGGCTATATAAGCAATGTGCAGGAATATGACTTGGATAAGATCACATGATGTGTATTACACACTCAGAGTGCCCTTGTGCGAGGGAGCTATGGGCACGGCAGTGTTTATGATCACAAAACCAAGGCCCTTTATATTCATGGTGACTACAAGTCTTTGTTTGTTTGTTTGTTTTGTCTTTTTCCTTTTTATTGGTTCCGGGGATCGAACTCACAACTGCCTGCTTGCAAGGCAGGCGCTTATGCCGCTGAGCTAAATCTCCAGCCTCATGACTACAAGTCTTTCAGAGCTGATAAATATGGGCTGGCAGATGATGTCTACAGGTATAATGTGAATACCCAGAGGTGGATCATTCTTAAGGGCAGCCAATCTATGCTTAACTTGCACACAGCTGTAATAGTGAGTGGAGTCATGCTTGTGTTTGGAGGAAATACACACAATGACACATTTATGAGCCGTGGGGGCAAATGTTTTTCTTCAGATTTCATGGCTTATGACATTGCTTGTGACCATTGGTCAGTACTTCCCAGACCTGATCTCCACCGTGATGTCAATAGATTTGGCCATTCAGCAGTCTTACACAATAGTGCCATGTATGCGTTTGGTGGTTTCAACCGTCTTCTCCTCAGTGACATCTTGGTGTTCACCTCAGAACAGTGTGAGGCACACCAGGTGAAGCTGCTTGCATATCAGCAGGACCAGGTATTCGGTGTGTATGGGATGGGAAAACATCTCAATGTGTCTCTTGGGAGCTGGAGACTGAAGAACAAGCTGAAAAATTAAAATTAGAATGTTTTGCTGAAATGACTCTTGACCATGACAGGTGTAGCCAGAGCACAGATTGTTACAGCTGCACAGCCAACACCAAAGACTGCCATTGGTGCAATGACTATTGTGTCCTAGGGACCACAGCTGCACAGAAGGCCAAGTTCCCATTTCCAAGTATGAGAATTGCCCTAAGAATAACTCTGTGGAATACTGGAACAAGATCAACTGCAGGAACCATGTCTTGGACCAAAACTTCCAGTGGCAACACAGGAAACAAAGGTGCACTGCACCGACTGAAAACACTTGTGGCATTGGCTGGCATTTAGTTGGAAACTCATGTTTGAAAATTACTACTGCCTAGAATAATTATGAAAATGCTACATTGCTTTGCAACAATCACAGTGCCTTTTTGGCTTCCCTCAAAACCCAGAAGAAAGTAGAGCTTGTTCTTAAGCAACTAAGAATAATGAAATCATCATAGAACATATCCAAACTCACCTTAACCCCATGGGTTGGCCTTTGGCAGGTCAATGTGTCCCTCTGGTCCTGGAATGATGGATCTCCACTTACAAACAGCCTACTGCAGTGGATGCTATCTGAGCCCAGCGATATTGGGATCTGTGGGTACTTATCAGAGCTCAGTATTCTGGGATTGAAGGCTGCATCCTGCCACAGTCCACTTAATGGCAGCATCTGTGAAAGGCCTATAAATCATGGTACCAAGCAGTGCTGGGAATCATGTGCCTTGTGGACTACATGCAGAGAGTGTTCGACCAAATCCCAGGGCCTGTCGTGTGGCAACATAAAGCAGTGTGTGGACTTCAGTGCCTATGTGACCTCCTTCCCTTTCAGACAGTGTACTGAGGGGTATTTGTTGGACAGTTGTCCCCCTGAAAATTGTTCTGGGTACTACATGTATAGTTATTGCTTAGAGCAGCCAGGTGGTGGCTGGTGTACTGATCCAAACAATACAGGTAAAGGAAAATTCATAGAGGGCTCCTACAGAAGACCAATGAGCATACCTTCCCAGTCCTCTACAGGAACTGTCTATCCACAGCCTCTTCTGAATTCCTGCATGTGTCTAGAGGGCAGCAGATATAACTGGTCTTTCATTCACTACAGCTTGCCAGTGCAATGGCCACAGCAAGTGTATCAACCAGAGTGTTTGTGAGAAGTGTGAGAATATGACTGCTGGGAAGCACTGCAAGACCTGCATATCTGGCTACTATGGAGATCCCACTAATGGAGGCAAATGCCACCCATGTAGCTGCGATGGTCATGCGTCACTGTGTACTCCCAACACGGGAAGATGCTTTTGCACCAAGGGTGTCAAGGGGAACATGTGCCAACTGTATGACGTAGAAAATCAGTACCATGGAGACCCTCTCAATGGAACATGTTATTATACTCTTACTATTGACTCTCAGTTCACTTTTAGCCTGATCAAGGAAGATGACTATTATTACACAGCCATCAATTTTGTGGCTACTTCTGATGCACAAAACAAGGATTGGGACATGTTCATCAAAGCCTCTAAAAACTTCAGCCTCAACATCACCTGGGTTGCCAGCTTCTTAGCTGGAACTGAGGCTGGTGAAGAGTTGCCTATTGTTTCAAAAACTGAGATTAAGGAATACAAAGATAGCTTCTTCTCTAGAAAGTTTCATTTTTACAGCCACCCAAATATCACTTTCTTTGTTTATGTCAGTGGTTTTACCTGGCCCATCAGAATTCAGATCACCTTCTCCCAGTGTCTTTGTTACTTTTTACTTGTTGCTGAGACAAAATACCTGAAGCCCAAGTTGGGAAAGGAAAGGTTTATTTTTTACAGATTTTTAGAGGTTTTAGTCTACACTCAGTTGGCTCCAAGGCAGGCAGACATGGCTGGGCCTCAGCTCATGATGGCTGCAAACAACAAGCAAAAACCAACAAAAAGAGACTCACCTTCTTCCTGCCATTACATCACATCCTGGCCCCACCCCATGTGGTGGAGCACTGACACCATCAATCCAAGCACTAAACAATGAACCATCACACATACACAATACAAACTCATGAGGCCTGGGGCCACAGACATAAACCATGACATTCACCCCTGGCCCCCAGGACTCATGTACATCCTTTATATAAAAGACATTTAGTCCACCTCAAAGTCATAAGTTTTAGCATTACTGAATAGTCCAAGTCTCAAGTCTCCTCTAAGATCTATGGCAAACTTAACTGTAATCCCCTGTATAAATGAAATAAGGTTAAACATTTTTTGAAATGCAAAGGCACAAGATAAATATTATCATTCTAAAAGTTACAAGCAGGGGAATAGAAAGCATTGGAAACAAAGCAAGTCCAACATCCAGCAGGGTAAACATTAAGTCCTCGAGTTTTTTGCTCAGCATCTGAAGCAAACTGGTTGTAAGCTCCAAAAGGCTTGGGTGATTCCACCCCCATGGCACTTTTGGCGATTTCAACTCCTGCAGCTTTTCTCTTAAATCCTCTCTGCTCGCTTTTTGCAGCTTTTCTTGGATCATCTACGTTTTTGGCTTTTTTAAACTTTTGGGGTCTCTACTGAACCTTTGGCTTTACCTTTACATCTTTACAAATTGTCCTCTCAGGGGCACACTGCTTGGCCTCCCAGGCCCTTTGCAATTGAGTTGGAAGCCATCTTACCCTCAGAATTTGTGTATTTTTCTTGCACCTAAAATCAGCACCATGTGGATGTTGCCAAGGATTGTTGGTAGCTGGAGCAGTCACCAGGCTTTCTTCTCTCTTGGCTGTAGGGGTCAGTTTCCTGGATCACAGGGCCTTGTTTACCTCATAGTGAGGAAAAGCTTTTCTATGTTGCCACCATTTTGGAACCTCACGTGGCCTTTGTTGCCATTTTGGAACCTCACGTGGCCTTTGTTGCCATTTTGGAACCTGGTGCTCTGCAGCTTTTTCCTCTGTGCAAATTCTTTTACCTTTGCTGTGAGGCTGTAAAGGGTGGGGACCCGCTTCCTGGGATAACCCAGGGCCATCTTTTTATCTCTCTGTTTTTTTTTTTAGCAATCAAAATCTCAACTCTGTCTTTACAATCCACAGCCTTCCTGATACTTTTCTTTTGGTCAAACTCACAGTATTGTAAATTACCTTGCTGGGCTCTTTGCTCTTGATTTGCAACATAAACCTGGATAAAAGTCTCCAATAGCCATGCCACAGCCTCAATGTTTGATTGTTTTTTAATTTATTTTTTAAGATTAATCAGTCCATTGCCTTTTGTATCAGTCTCAGTCAAAGTCTCTGGGCATGAACAAAATGCAGACAAACTTTCTGCCAAGCCATAACACAAATCATGGGGAGTCCAACAACCAATGCAGTCTTTCTTCCCAGCAGAAACCTCCCAAGCCTAATCTTTATCATGAGGCTTTTTATCAGCCTTTTGGTCTCCTGAGCTCTGACAAGAATCTCCTCTATAGAACAGCCTAAGCTGCTCCAGCTCTATGCATCTAGCTGACATATCTGAACCTTTTTAAACTCTACCCACAAGCCATTTTAAAGCCTCTCGAAAAACATGGTCAGGTATAGTCACAGCAAACGACCCCACTCCTCAGTAACAAATGTTACTTTTTATTTATCACTGAGACAAAATACCTAAAGCCCAAGTTGGGAAAGGAAAGGTTTATTTTTTACAGGCTTTTAGAGGTTTAAGTCTACACAAAGTTGGCTCCAAGGCAGGCAGACATGGCTGGGCTGCAGTTCATGGTGGCTGCAAATAACAAGCAAAAATCAACAAAAAGAGACACACCTGCTTCCTGCCATTATATCACATTCTGGCTCCACCCCTATGTGGTGGAGCACTGACACCATCAATCCAAACACTAGACAATAAACCATCACAAATGCACAATGCAAACTCATGAGGCCTGGGGGCCACAGACGTAAACCATGACATCCAGCATAGAAGTTTTAAAGACCTGTAACAGTTCTTGTGACTTTTTCAGTTCAATCTTTTGAGTTCTGTAAAAGATGAAGATTTATTATCTTACCCTGCCTTACCAAGCAATTTACTGTGCCCTGTACAGTCTCCTCCCTCCTCTAATTGAATACAATTATATCAGAATGCTTAGCCAAATCAATAATTCTGTTTTTATTATTATGACTCTGAAACTCTTATTCCGTGCTGATTTGAATTATGCTTATGTTTAGTCATTTGTGGATGGAAATTCACTCTGCTTGTCCTAAATGTAATATTATCCATGGTTTTGTTTTAGATTGTTCAGTTTTTCTGTAAACCTACCTCTGTATGGAAGTTCACTCTCCTGTGAGCTTTGCCAACTGAAATGTTTTTTAATTTTTATCTTTGAAGTTTCACTGAGTTGAATACAAAATTTAAATTGGAAATAATTTTTCAATAAAAGTTAAAGGACATTGTGCTATTTCTTCTAGCTTGTAGGGTTAATATTTAGAATGCAAATGCCATTCCTTCTATGGGATGTATTTTCTCTTTGAAAGTTTTTTTTTTTTTTTAACATTTGCAGATCCTGATTGGAACTGAAAGAGATTAAGTGAAATATGTGAAGCACAGAATACTTCACATTCTCATTATATGTGGAAGCTAAAATTTTAGATCTCAGAAATTAGGGAATAGCAAAGTGGCTGTCTGAGTCTGGGAGGAGTGATGAGAAGGAGGGGTGGAGAGAAAATAGTTAAGGGGTGCAGGGGACCAACTGGATGAGAAAAGTAGTTTCTAAGGTTTTATAGCATAGTAACATAACTATGGTTGGTGACAAGTAATTGAATATTTCATGGTAACTAGTAAGGAAGACTTTGATTGTTCCAAATGTAAAGAAATGATGTTGTCTGAGGGACAGATATTCCAAGTACCCTTATCTGATCATTACACACTGCACATGCTTTGAAATGCTGCTTGTACCCCATAAATATAATTATAGTATACTAGGATAATACTAATAATAGTACAGTTACTATGTGTAAATTTAAAATATGTATTAAAAATGTAAAAAAATTAAAAGGTTCTGGGTTCATTCCTAGTACCAAAAACAAAACAAAATAAAACCAAAAAAACAAAACAACAACAACACCAAAACCCTCATTGTGGAGTTGGCTATTTACTGCAAGAGTAAGTTTCATGTAAGCTCTGTCCCCGCCTTGCCCATTTTGCCCTATTTTAAATGCATCTTTCCTTGACCTTCCAACATATTGCAATGCAACACAAAGATGCTACCAAATTCTAGCATCATACTCTTGGACTGTCCAGTTTCCAAAACGACAAGCCAAATAAACTTCTGTTATTTTTATAAATTATTTCTTTAGTATTCCATTCGAGTAGCAGAAAATATACTAAGACAGATATTATCATTATCAAACATAGTGATTCTGATAAGATGCAGAATCTTCCTGCTAGGTATATTACTCAGAAAGTATATTAAAACTTATGTTCTTGTTAAGAGTTGACCCAATAATTCAAGAAAATGTTGTCATTTTGACAGAAAGAAATTAAACTAGTTTTGCATGAGTGTATTATTGATACTGAAGATAATTTAAAAAACAAACATTGCAAATAAAACAACCATCCAATCTTAACCAATTTTGACTGTAATACAAGATTTTATTTTATACTATTTATGTGCATTCGGGCTTTTCTTATACTTTCTCCTTCTAGATCAACTGTTTTATTTTAGGAGAAAATCACTTACAGTTCCCTTAAAAATAAAAACACTTCCGTAAATAATGTGCACAAAGCTGAATATTTAATTCTATATAAATTATAAAGTAGCTATAAACTTATTTGAACAGTAGAACTTTTTAGACAAAAATATACAGTGTTATAATGATTACTTTGAAAATGACTTTTTATTAAATTAAAATTGTATTTTTGCTACAGATTCATCCAACTTACAGTGTGTGAAATTTTTGAAACATTTATGTTACATTTTTATGAAAGTACTTTTTAATATTGAAACCATAAAGCTTATTTGTCTCTTAAGTTAACATAGCTTTTTAAAATGTGTTGTCACTTATTTATATTTTGTTAACTTTCCCTTGCTGTGAAAAAAATACTTTAGATAAACAACTTGAAGGAAGAAAGGTTAGTTTGGCTCATAATTTCAATGATTTCATTCAGTGTTCACTTGGGTGTGTTTCTCTTGGGTTTATGACAAGGTAAAGCATCATATTGGGGAATGTGATAGAGCAAAGCTTCCTTGGTTTATGAGAACCAAGAGGCAAAGAGAAGAGGAAAGGACTATAAATCAGATGCCCTCAATTATGTAACTTCGTTCTGAGTCTTAACCACCTAAAACAGTGATAGTGAACTTCTCAAAGAATGAGTCCCAAACTGCAACCAAACACCCATTTATTTATTACAAAGCACTAATACTGAAAAAACCTGAATGCTGAGGTTTTAATTTTTAAAAAACCCTCAATTTTCAATGTCTTCTGCCTTAAAAACACAGTAACATTCATGCCATAGGTTCACCACCACTGACCTAAGAGTTCAGCTTTCCAGTATCATGGCAGGCTGGCTACTAAGCCTTCGGCATATGCATAAATAAATGTACCAACATGAGCTTTCATTCTAAAATTTTATCAATGAGTTTCACGTACGCATACATCTTTTCAATTAATACAAGCATTAACTCTATTTCATATTTTTAAAAAAATATATAGTTTTAGATAAAAACCCTACATTTATTGGCCTCCAGTAATAACATAAAGTAGTCAAAACAATATGGACAAATGTTTTACAAATACTCCCACTTAAGGCAACCACTTAACCAGCTGCCTTTTTAACATATTATCATAATTGCCATTGTCTCACGTCGCTGCTTTCTTAATTTATTGATTATTTCTAGTTGGAGACACTTTATAGCAGACTAATATTATCTCCTTTCATCATGATCTGACCCAGTTGTTTTGTTGACTTTGTTTTAGAACAATTTTCTTCTGCATCATCTAATACAAGGTTCATGTACTCAAAACCAATCACACAGCTCTCTATGTACATATGCAGTTGCTCATTTAGCCACCTGGGATCTGTTCTGCAAGTATCTGAATATGACGTTGATTGGCTGCACCATCACCTTCTGCACTTGCTGGCTCATGGTGGAATCTGACAAAGACCACACCAACCTAAAATTACACTTTTAGAAGGTGAAATGAGTTAAAGTGTTGTGCTTAATTTGAATCTTAAAGCTTCCCATAACTATTTGTGCAGAATATTAACCAGTATGTAATTACATGGAAACATTTTTCATTCTAAAGTGGTTGACTTTGTATTCCCAAGTTACTTGAAAGCACCAGATAGGGCAAGGGTGTAACAGCTTTAGTGTAGAGAACTGAGAGGTAGGAGAAGGTCTGCCAGAAGCCTCTACATAAGAGAGTAAATTTGAAGAAGAACACACCAGAGAATTTCAGAGCTTAAGACAAGACTGAAAGTTAAAGTGAAGATCGAGATGAAGAAGTGGAGGTGATGAGGAAATATCTTTGCCATTTGGGGGAATTTCAAACATTTAAAAGCCACTGGTGTCCTATATTATCTTCAGTAAAATTGTACCAAGTAAAAAGGAAGCC